GCACCCGGCACGGACCCCAGAGCCCCAGCCTTCCGGCGCGCGGGCCCGGCCTTCTTCCCGGGACTCTCCGAGTCGCCTCACAGTCGGAGCCCAGGCAGGTTCGTAGCTGTCACACTGCTACTTACGCACGACTTTCAAACTTCGCACCCCCGCGAGTGTGCACCCCTTCGCCCCAAGTGCGCCTCCAGCGCCGAGTACCTGCGCGGCGCACACTGCACTGTCTTTAAGGGGCGCTGGCTCCCAAGCTGGGGTGCACATCTGGAGAGATTGAAAAAGTACCCGCGTCTGTGTCCCACCTGTGGGGATCTGGACTCAGTTGGATTGGGGAGCAGCCCCGGGGACCGAGCCGCTACAGATCAGCCGTGTTGTGGATCCTGGCTCAGCCGCGGAGACTGTGGATCCGGGTTGTCCAACCTTAGACGCAGGTGATGCCTTTCTTAAAAACTTCCCTTTGTTTATAGTAAATATTGCCCTGGCAGTTCTACCTAGGAGTTAGGAACTAGGCAGCCTTTCATGAGTCAAGGTTATAATACAGGATCGTCGGTGAGGGAGAGGCCAGATGATTTGATTTGTATTTGGAAAAGATCTCAGCTTGAAAGCAGGAAAAACAGGACCGTGTGAGTTCTGGGAGCCCACCCCCTCCCCATAATGGTTTTTGCATAAATGTGGGGAATTTTCCTCTGAGAAGCACAGCGGATGATACCCTCACTGCTCTATGGCTGGTAGTTGTGTTAATGTGTGCATTTGTGAGTTAAAGTATTCTTCTTGGTGTGGCCAAGCCCCGCGGATGTAGCAGCACTCATTTCTTCATAGAATAATACCCCGCGAATTGGGAAATTCATAGCAGGGCACATCTGAGGCAGTGCCTCAGCCACCTGCCAAGTGATCTCCAAAACGAGGGAAATGAAGCATAGTGCATGTTTGCACCGACTCGGATCATCTATATCCCACTAAGAAAGTTTTTTGCATCTTTGTCACTAACACAATAGTCTCTGGGATTTTGGTTGAACCCACCTCTGTCCCCCAAGTGTGATGTGTGTGTTGGATTTCTCACCCGTATGTTGCAGCCTGGCCACGGATCAGAAGATTTAATTTTTTTTCTGAGGAGCTGGCTCTGTTTCCTGTATTTCTCTTAGCAGTGGAATGACATCTTTTCAACAATGCCATCCAGAGGGGGAGGAAAGTTTGTGTTCATTTCTAGCTCCTAAATGAGTTGAGACATTATTTTGAAAATTAAAAAAAAAAAAAGATATCGCCCTTCCCATTGGTCTTTGTCTTCTCCCTCCTTTCTGCTACCATGGCCTCTCTACTTTTACTAGAAGTGTGACTGAGGTGGGGTCATCTTAACCATCTGGGGCCTGGCCTGGGGACAAGGGCCATGTGGATTCCAGGGCAGCTCTTGATCTGAATTCTCACCCTTCGGGAACGACCTTATGGAAAGTATTTTCCTGTTGTTGATTTTTTGTTTGTTTTGTTTTATGGACCAGCCGACAAAATGAATCATATTATTGAATGGTTTGTGAACTTGTGAATCTTGTCTCAGTTTGAATATTGAAAAATATTTATTTGAGGGTGCTCTTGCACTGTTGGTATCTGACAAGTGCACCCAAACAGCGGTACAAGGATCCCCTCCCCGCCAAAGTGCACCTGAATGTGGACATAAAGAGATTCATTGAACATTTCTCACTTTGGGGTAGCTGTTGTAATATTCTAAACTGATGAGAGCCAGGCACGATGGCACATACTTGTAATCCCAACATTTGGGAGGCTGAGGCAGGAGGACTGTCATGAGTTCAAGGCTAGCCTGTGCTACATAGTGAGACTGCCGCAAAACAAAACAAAGATCAGAATAAAGTAAGTAAAGAAAAATATGAAGAAAGAGTTGGTGGGGGGGTCTTCTTAACACATTCCTGCCGGCTTGAACCACTGGTGGTACATGCCTTACTGTCCCTTCGGGTGGCACGGGACAGTCTCATTGGTACCTGCGTGTATGGCCCTGACCTGAATGTGTTAATTTGGGATAGGTGTATAGTACCACATAGAGGCCTTTGTTTTGTGTTAAGGATTTGCATTAAGATTAGATTGTCCTATTATTGGCTTCCTCTTTTGGGGGGGTCTTCAAGTTAATTAGCTTGTACTGATAGTGTGAGAGATGGTTAATGGTTAGCTCTTTCCCCCTGCAGCTCATTTATCTAAGAGATGTCATTGACCTTCTCAAAAAGTCCCGCTTCCCCGCTGGCTTGTGCCTTTCCTTTCTTTGCCCGCTCTGGTCCTGGTGTTAAAGGGCAGAGAATGGCCGGGGGGTTGGCATCAGAGGAGAAAAACAAAGTTCAAGGGGGATTGGAAGTTGGGTAATTTTCTCTGAAAGGCCAAGCACTTTACTGTATTCTGGCACATGACACTGCTGTTAGCATGAAACACATTAGGATGCAAAAACATTGAAAATGAAAAAGAATAAAAGGGAGATGTAATGGGAGTTGTACCAGAGCTGAGTGGCTCACAGTGATCCTGCCTTGGAGCCAGCTGACCATGGACTGAATCCTCTAGAACTATGAGCCAGATTAAACCACTCTTCAAGTTGTGGACATCAGGTGTTATGTCCCAGCCATGGAAAAGTGATGGAAACAGAACCCCTTTATCTTCTTTCCTGATGCACAGTCCTGCATCCCCATCTCCATACCAATATCCTTGGGAGAGAGAGTGCTTTGTACGTTCACACCAGGGACTTTCCTTTCATTGCTTTCTTCCCTCCTTGAGCACATTACCTGCTGAGTTCTTGGTTAGTAGGACAGGGTACCTTCCTGGAAGAGCCTGAGGTGGGGTGGGGCATGAAAGCATGGGTTGCAGTAAGTTGGGGATCCAAGATGGCAGACTTACTGGGTACGGTGGGTATTTCTAGCCTTGCCCGGATAGGTTCCTCTTCAGTTCATTGACACAGCGGGTATCTGAAGCACTGTACTTGGTTTTGAATTAGAGTTATTTCATTGAGTCCCTGCATTAAGGGTAAAATGACTGATAGTGAATATTTTTCTAGCTTGAGAAAGGGAAGAGTAGGCTCCCCTCATGCTAAGGGGAGGCGGGGGTTGGAAGTAGGAGGGCTGGGTTCTAGGCAGGGCGTTTTGATCTAGCGGTCTGGTGGACAGGGTCTGAATGGGGCTGGAGAGCTGGCAGGCAGTGTGGCTGGACCGCGTCTGCAGTGCAGCTGACAACGTCAGCTCAGTTAGCATGGCTGCCTCTGCAGAGGGGTTTGGTTGTGGCTGTGACTCCAGACCATGGGTGGACATTTGTGCTTGGCCACACAATTGCCATGTTAGCTCACGTCTCTTTGGGCAGGCTGGAGGCTGGATGTCACCCAGGTTTTCCCTTGGAAGTTGCTGTCCCCTTGGCCAATCACCCTTGGATTATAAGAGAAGTCAGTGTTTGTCTGTTGACTGCCGTCCAAGTGCCAGGCTGGAAGTGCGGGCTCAACACTTTCTTTGCTCTGAACCTGCAGGTCCCTGAGAGGCGGGTGGCAGTGACCTCCTTTTACAGACAGGGAAATTGAGGTCCAAAGAGGCACCAGCTCCTGTAGAGGCTCCACAGTACTTGGAAAAGGAAGAATCGAGTTTGGAGGGTGCTTGGGTCTGTCTGAATCCAAAACTAAGTGTTTTACACTCACACTTCCTAAGCAGAGCTGAGGAAGAAATTGGATTTTCAGTTGGGCTTGGTGGTACATATTTATGATCCCAGCACTTGGGAGGCTGAGGCAGGAGGAGTACCTGGAGTTTGAGGCCAGCCTGGGCTATACAGTGTGTTCAAGGTCAGCTGAACTGGATAGTGAGACCCTGTCTCAAAAAATCAAAAACAAACAAAACAAAAAACAAATTCAGTGCCAGGCTTTCTGGAGTACATGAAGCTGTGTGCATCCAGTCCTTGGGCCTGTAGTGCTGGTGACAGAAACAAAAATTTGCTGCATAGTAATTAGCAGTAGCTCTTCAAAGCGCAGGGAGCCGGGGCTTGGAGGCCAAGCAGCACTGTCATTAGTGAAGGTGAGTTTGGAACAGGTTGGTGATGAGCCAGCACTGTTGCAGTGGGTGCACAGGATTTCAGCCCTGAAGGGTCAGATCCAGGGCACATGGCCAGGGCTGAGCAGAGGGTCACTATGGAGTTAGAATGTGTGGGAACAGAGTTGGGGCTGGGCTGGCAGCCTCTGCCCAGTCTTGCCTTTGGTATAGTAGGCAGTGGTTCAGAGCACTGCTTTGTAGGTTTACCATCTATAAGGCCCCTTGGTTAGTAATGCGCAGTCACCATTACTTAGCAGTGTGCAGGAAGACTGAGGCAGGAGGATTGTGATTTTCCAGTTTGGGCCTTGATAATTCCCTTGGTGTTGTGTCCTTGTGTTTTGTTGCATGTGAAACAGGTGCTCTCTTTACTCTTGCGAGTGTGAGGTCCATGTAAGAGGAAGATCTACTATACTGTGACTCTTCTCAGGAGTCCTGTGTCCGAGCACACACATGGTTCATCCCATTTTCCAGGCTCCTGGACTCGGGTATGGCGTGCAGTTTTAGGATTCCAGCCCAGCTTCAGACTCTCAGCATCTGGGCCTTTCTGACCTGACTGCAGAGGTATTACGGCTATGTCTGGAGGTCCCCCTAGAGCCTCGTGCAGTCCTAGGGGGTGGCTGGATCTAGAGTGTGATGCTGGGATGGATTCATGGTGCAATGCTAGGCTCAAGGGTTCTAGGATTAAGGGTGTGAGTGCTGCCCACCCTAAGTAGCCTGGGTAAGATATAAGGGACAGAAAGCGCTGTGGTCTGTTGCTTTGCTACCTTCTCCCTGCCATGCCACCCTGCCTTGAAGCCAGCCAATTATGAACTGAAGCCTCTACAAACTGTGAGCTAAATAAACCTTTCTTCCTTTCACTTTGGGTCTTAGGTATTTTGTCTCAACAAGAAAAGTAATAAACACAAAAGGGAAATGACATGGCTGAGTTTTCAAAGTCATGAGGAGGTTCTGGTAGAGCTTACTAACTTACCAAATTCATCTGTGTACTTTGCTGTAGTTATTATATTAGTAGGTTTTTTTTTTATATATAAAGATTGATTCTCCATCATTTCTGT